GAAAGTAAATGAAGACTGACAAGCACCTCCACTTTTTCCTGTCTTCGTATTTGATCTAAAGTACCAGGGAATAATAAAGTCCGCCAGATAAAACATTCCCCTCCTAATAGTTTTGAAAGAAAACTGAACTTTTATTTATATCATAACGCTTCTAAAAAATTACATAAAGTAACTAGCAAAGCTAACTGTATGATATCACTCTGTACTCTACTGTTCTAATTATGAGAACGTCATTTTTTTAACTGAAATAATGTCCTTTATCAACATGAGCGTTTTTAGTAAGATGTTTTTTAAAAAACTGATACCAAAACCAAGTTAAAAAGAAGACCACACTAAGACGCAAAGCAATCAATTAGAGAGCAGTTGAAGTAATGCAATCTCCGAATTCAAAAGACGGATATGATTGAAACAGTTGCAAAGCGTCATCCTCGACAGCATATCCTCAACTAAACCTAACAAACACCTTTTTCATAGTTTCAGATGACAAATAAAAATGTGCCATTTATAAAAACGGATACTAACAAATATGAGACGATCTGCGTCTTGTGCCTTGTGGCTTCATAAGGCATTTGCAGATTTTAGTGAGAACAATGCAGATTACTTTTTACGTTTAATATGTGTGCCTCAGATTAGACTGTAACTTTTCATCAAAAATAAAACTTTCTGTTATTTTTATTGTTGCCATTCTTTTTTAATACCTTCTTGTATTTTTAGTTTATTATTATATAAATCGACCTTAGAAAGAGTCAGGCAAAGACGCACACTCTGTCACCGTAACTTTTTAATCCATACATCGATGACGCGATTAATATCATTAAAGTCAGGACAACTGCAGGGATAAATATGCAGGGGCAAACGATCAATATGCTTACTCCAACTAGTCTCAGGACTGACGACCTTATGATGATGATAATGACATCGGTCTTATTATAGATATATAACAGATATTAGGCTCATCAGAATGCTATTTAATTTGTGACATTGTATATATTCCTTCAGTTTGATGAACTAGATGAACTTCTTCTCTATTTCGTTGTACTCATGTCTAATACTTTAATGAACTGCATGGTTTTATTTGCTTTAAATACTTTTTCTTATTAGGTAAACTCTACTACCCTTAGGTAGGTACCTCAGTATAAATACATTTTCTCTTCATTACTTCCAGAAATCAAATATTATACTTACTGTGGTGCTTTTTCCACCATTCAGTCATACGTCTTTGCATTATTTGAATCTATGAATAGTAATCGTTTCTCAATTTTCATCTTTTCAAATAATTCAATCGAAAGGAATGCGTTTGTAACATTGGATTCTCACTTACGAATCTATCGCATATCTCGTGAGCAAGAAGGGAATATTTTAAACATGATCCTCGCTTTGCTGCTTTGACGTATCTTCCGTTACTTTCCTTTGTGAAATACTTCTACCTAATTTTTTTTGGTTCTAACGTATATGTGAAAGGTGTTTTTCAAAATACAACGGAGTCACGTTTGCTCTTAACGCAGCGTCAGTCTTCAGCCCTCACTGAAAATAACGCAAGCGATAATAGAGGACGCTGGTAGATTGATATACATACGTACGTGATCGCACATACATGTGTATGTTTATTCGTAATTCCTACATCTACTCCATCCTAAAAAGTAGTTGAAAGCTTGTTTGCTGTCTACACGCAGCACAGTGTAGCATTAATATTCATTTCGGGACTTCTGAAGTAATTCTTCATTAGCGTGTTCACTTCCCTAGATGCACTATTTTTATCTCGCGTGCGCGCTACTTCGTATTTCCGCATAATGATGAGATTACGTCTTTTTTTCCGAAGGAAAAAGAGACGCCGCGACGTAGCTGCACGTTGCTCCGTAACTCTTTAAAAGTTTAATCGAATAAATCCATGAGGGAGCATTCTAAGTTTCCTTTTGCTTTTTCCTTGCCTATTATTTCGTTATAACGAAGAATGTGTAGGTACGTCATCCAGGTACAAAAGAAATTTAATAACGAAATTGTTCTGTTTAGTTTAAACTTACTAACGAGGCATCTCCAGTTGTGTCGTTAGATTATAAAGTTGATTTTAAAATATGATAGGGATGCTCAATTTAATGATCAAGTGGATTTAATCTTTTTATGAGGCATTAGCATCCACACAAAGTGTGTCTTAACTGGTTAGGATCCTTATGATAAATATAATACCAGCAAAAACTAATTTCGGGTTAATACACAAAAAACCTGTCATTGTCGTTATGTTTTATTAAAGGAATGTTGCAAAACGTATTCCCGCCGGCTAAAATCAATAAAGACGACACGTCTGGTTTGCGGTCGAAGATCCAAAGTGCGCTCATAAATCATAGCACGTGTACACACACATGGAGACCAATACGGAATAATTACGAGAAGGTTCGAATGGTATTTTGATGCTTTTCCAGAAAAACTCGAGAACCTTCCTAACTAATATTATAAATGCCAATGTTTATTTTTTTTTTCACGCCTGAAATACATGAATTTTTGTACATACCTGTACATCGTCAGGGGTACATAAAAGAACATACGTTTTCATCATTATCATCATCATAAGGTCGTCTGTCCTAAGACTGGTTGGACACGTACCTCCACTCTTTCCTATCCTGAGCTAAACTTCGCATTTCCCTAAAACTAGAACAGCCCACATCCTTAACTATTTGCGAACAGTAATCTAGTATAGGTCTACCTCTACCCCTCCTAACTCCTGTTTCTGCTTCTAATATGTCTCTGACTAGACCTTTATGCCTGAGAAGGTGTCCTACCAACCTATCTCGCCTATTTTTTATTGACTTCCATAGAGTCCTCTGTTCTCCTATTCTTTCCAATACCACTTCATTTCTAACCTTTTCTACCCACGACATCCTCATCATCCGCCTATAACACCACATTTCGAACGCTTCTAACCTTTTCTTTTCCGCCGCGTCCACTGTCCATGTTTCGCACCCGTACAATGCCGTGCTCCAAACATACACCTTTAACAACCTTTTCCGAATTTCTAAATTAACCGTTCACGAGCCTAGAAGTGACTTCTTTTTAATAAAGGCGATACGACCCTGCGCTATCCTCTGCTTTATATCCCTACTACTCCTTCCATCCTGACTTATCTAACTTGCTAGGTATCTAAAATCAGCCACTTCTAATTTTTCGTCTCCTATCTTTATATTCGCCCTTTCCCTACTTTTTCTTCCCTTGCATATCAGTATTTTAGTTTTACTTTTATTTATTTTCATACAGTACTGATCTGTCAGTAAATTTATCGGAGTTAAATTGAAATATATAGTAGATACTAATAAACTAAATATTATTTTCAATGGTTAAATACTTTTATATGAAAATCAAAAACAAAAAACATTAACGCGAGCGAAGCCGTGGGAAAAACCTACTGTACCATTCATGTATGTATGCGGTGACTGGAAGGCCATCAGAATCGGTTAATTCTAACAAGAAATGATACAAATATCACCCATCTTTTCTATGGGCTTATTTAAAACAAAAAACAATATAATAATTTGAAGCTATTCTACTTATATATTTTCGAACAGTTCCATAAAAGATATTTGCATGAAAATATATTTCCTTGTCGAATACCCAGGGCTTTTAGATGACTTCATAGAAATAATTCATGTTACTCTCTAAGAAATTTACAACTTTTATTCAGTCACGGATTGCTTTGGCATATACACATAGATTGTAGGTACAGATTTTTGCTTGGGTCATATATACATATATACAGATGAAGTTCCATTCCTACTTGCATACATTCATATATTTCTTAGGAGAAACGTTCCGCTTTGATTCTACGCCGACGTGAAATATTTTGTCGCTTCACGAATGTCTTATAAAGGATATATCGCACGTCCGCTTCCGTTCCACACAGAACTCAAGGCCTTGGATGATGGGCATAAATTTATACGTATACATATTCGCATATTTACTTTTTGTGCACACACACACACGTATGTTTGTAGGTGTACCGTGTATGTACAATATACATTTTCGGTTGAAAGCTAAGGCTATGAAAATAAATGATGTGACTTATTGGTTGTAATGGCATGCGAGAGGAAAGTACAATCTATCCGCTTTTAAGCGGCCCAATATTTCAATCCGTGTGATTGATATTCGCTGGGAATATGCGGATAGTGCGCCTTGGAGCTAAGGACGAATCGGTGCGGTCGCATACCAGTTCCTTCTGACAAATGAATAGATCTAATCTCACACTGACTTTCCTCGGGATAGGTTCAGATAAAATGACAGAAGCTAATGAACTGTCAACTACTGTAAGTCAACTGAATTGAAGATTAACCAAGTGCAACTCGATGAATTGCACACAGGTACAAACGCTATTAGCTTTTCATATCTTAAAACTTATTAAATACCTACCCAAAGTTTGTGTGTAGGTGCACTAAATAACTATTGTGCCTATCAATTTTTAGAAGTGGGTCGCAAAAAGTATAAATACATATTTTTTTTGGGATTGTTGCAGTTCATGGAGCCTACTCTTAACTTTTGATTGTTATAATAACGATCTCGGTAAGTTGCTAGCACTGACTATTATGAGTCGGTAGAGGCGGTACCAAGCTTGAAAATCTCCTTCGTCGACTCATAATAGGGAGTGTCGAGCGGTAACCAGGTTGAAGATCCCCTCCGCCTACTTATAATAACGAGTGCTAAGCAGTACCTAGCATAAAGATCCCTATCACCGACTCATAATAGGGAGTGTCAAGCGGTAAGCAGCTTAAAGATCTCTTCCACCGACTCATAGTAACGAGTGCTAAGCAGTACCCAGCTTGAAGATTCTCAAAACCGACTCATAATAACGGCTGCTAAGCGATCCCAGCTTGAAGATCCACCGACTCATAATAGCGAGCGCTAAGCGATATCATCTTGAAGATACCCTCCACCAACCCATAATGATGAGTGCTAAGCGATACCATATTGAAAAACCCCTCTAGCAACTCATAAAAGCGAGTACCAAGCGATAACAAGCTTGAAGATCCCCTCCACTGACTCATAATAACGAGTGCTAAGCGGTACCCACCCCAAGATTCTTTCCACCGATTTATAATAACGAGCGCTAAGCGATACCATCTCGAAAAACCCCTCTAGCAACTCATAATAGCGAGTAGCAAGCGGTAACAAGCTTGAAGATCCCCTCCACTGACTCATAATAACGAGTGCTAAGCGGTACCCACCCCAAGATTCTTTCCACCGATTTATAATAACGAGCGCTAAGCGATACCATCTCGAAAAACCCCTCTAGCAACTCATAATAGCGAGTAGCAAGCGGTAACAAGCTTGAAGATCCCCTCCACTGACTCATAATAACGAGTGCTATGCGGTACCCACCCTGAAGATTCTTCCCACCGATTTATAATAACGAGTGCTAACTGATACCAGCTTGAAGATCCACCGACTCATAATAGCGAGTCCTAAGCGATACCATCTTGAAAAACCCCTCTAGTACTCAGCTTGAAGATCCCCTGCACTGACTTAAAATAACGAGTGCAAAGCGATAGCAGCTTGAAGAACCCCTCCTATCGACTCATAGCACAACAGCAAGTGCTAGCAACTTAACGATATCGTTATTATAACTTCCTGCGTCATCTATGCACTAGCCTCTCCTCCAAAAGCAGGCAGTAACAAAACTTTGCTACAGTCCAACATACAATCAACAAATTAATAATTGTAGAAGATTTTACGTGATCTACCTGCACGTGCTTTTCTTCTAAAGCTTCACAAATATAATTACTTCATGAGCCTAATAAGGGTATATTCCATTGACCCGTAATGTGCAATATAGGGATAAATACATATATGTATGTACATGCTGGGTATGTAGGCACTGAATCAGACTTAAAAGGTAAATAAATACGCTAGCCCTAGGTGCTCTAGACGGTTCAATCTTGATCAAATGCTTCGAAGTTATTTGAAACAAGACACTTTCGCTGTTTGAGGTCAGCTGCTCGTTCTTTAATAAAGAATCGTAGCCCACTCAATAGATGAAAGTTCAATTCGAATAAGATCAGGTTCTCAATCTTGTTGATGGCAGCAATAAACGTAAAAAATAATTAAATGAAAAATTTATTATCTACCTTTACAGTGAGACCAAATTTATATGGATTAACAAATGGTTTTTGCTAAATAGAGATACACACATTGAAGTTCTTATTATAGCTGCTTATTAGTAAAAAGTTCTTGATTATTCAAATGACAATAAAGACGAATAAACTAAAACTACAAACGACCTGGTCTGTCTTAGTTCTACAAGATTGGTAATTTTTGTAGAAACATTGTTTGTGAAAAATTGTAGGTATTACTTACTGTTGGTTATATATTTCTTATAATCAAAATAAATTCCCTAATTATAATGGTTTCAGGTTTTCACGATGATTGGTAATCATAATATTACTATTGATCTTTTGGATTTGATTAGTGTGGGTTTAATTTTCTAGCGTCTTTTCATGAGATACTTTAATGATTAATGAATATTTGAGCAATAACCTTCCTAATCTTTTAATTATTTTAAGGGAAATAAAACCGCGGTACGCCACAAATCTGGGCGTTTCTGGTGGATTCCTTCGCGCAAATTTCGCGATCTAGCAGGTAATATTCTTTATAAACCGTTCTGTCCTGTGGCAAGAACTCACGATGGATCACGCCCCTGCAATCGAAGAAAATTGTAAGTAAAACCTTCACATTCGACCTAACTTGGCACACGTTTTTCAGGCTTAGCTCGTGCTACAGTTTCCATTGGAATGATTGAGCGTTGGTTTCAACGTTATAACCATAAAACCATGATTCGTTACCAGTTATGATCCTCTGGACCAAATTTGAGTCCAATAGCTCCTTAACAATGTTAATGCGATGCTGTTTTTGGTCTCATGCCCAAATCATTCGTAAAAATCGAATAGCAGGAGCTAATAGATACGTTTAGGTCCTCAGCAACGTTTTCTAACGGTGATTCGATAATTGGCCAACATTATTTTCTTCACTTCATCAATGTTTTCGTCTGTTGTTGACGAGCTCCGGTGTCGGGCACGCACTTTATCGTTCACATTTTCTGGGCCGTCTGAGAACATCTTGTACCACCGACAAACGTTCCTTCGGTCCAAGGTAGCTTCACTATATGCTATAGTCACCATTGGGAATTTGTCCGAGCACTAAATTTTGTTTTTCATACAATAGGTAAAAATCGAAGACGAGCCAAAACACGAGCAAGCAGGGCAGCTGTCAAAAATTAACTGGACATTCCACATAGCAGAACATGTAGGTATAAGTGAGAGACATGAGTACCAACTTAAGGACACAAAAAAAATCGAATATACGTAATCTGGGGAAATTCAGAATTTGCGATACTTTTTGAACAAATCTCGTATAACAAAAAATTGTTGAAATATGACATTGTCAGCTACGCCTATGTATCAACAATTGTATACAATCGATTTCATACTCTCAAACGTTGGAGAAAAATAAGTGTTGTAAACCTCTTTCTATATTTTGTCAATTTTAGCTATCTGAACTTGACCCACTTGACATATCCGCTGTTTCATAGCTTGTCCTCTGTTGACCCTAGAAAGCTTTTGATAAATGAGTATTCTTTAAATAAACCTTTAAAATGAAGAATTTGGTGACAAAATTTCCAAGCCGTATACGTACTGCATAAACATTTAAATAAATAGGTATATCTAAAGTTAATTAAATACAACTACCTTGCGCCTCCACCATAATTTGATTTTAATTTGATTTACATTATTTTTAAAGAAATTAGCAGAAACCTTATAAAACCATAAACATCTGCTTTATTTTCAAAACCTTTCTTCTTAAACACTATATTGCATTTAAAAGTCTTCAACTTTACACTATAATGAAATAATAGGTAGGTATGACTCCTATTTTTTGGTTAAAAGCAACATTAAAATATTTGTAGGAAAAAAAACAAGAACAGTTTTCATCAAAGTGTTAAGTGTTACATTATTTCCAAAGATATTCCTGAAAATGTATCCCGGAAATATTTTTCCTCGCCGCATATTCCGTGATTAAGGTAATCAGATTAAGAAATGGTTAATTCCATCTTAATTTTAAAAAGCTACCATATTGGCGTTGTCCCAGTGAAATTCGTAATATACGCACACACCATCCGATAGCAAAACCTGTAACTCGAATAAGAGACCAATTTAAAAAATCCACAATTGTACGGTACGTCTCTGCCTTTTGACTATTGAACAGGCTTGAGAAGATTTTAGAAATTTACTTTTACCATAATTAATTCATTATAGGCCATTCTGGGCACAAAAAAAAAACTATTGTACTAAAACTAAATTGATCAACCTCTTTATAATAATTCAAGATATATGTTGTGCGTAATTCACTAGATATCATGTCGTAAACCCAGGATAAAACAATGGAATTAAGTACTCTTGCTGCGTTAAAGCTTTTTATTTAGAAAAACCAAAACCATATACAAGACAATACATAAAACCCCACAACCCGTTTATGTGCAAATTTCTCAAATTATTTACTTTGAATATTGAAACCGACACGAAAGCGCCTTCTAGCTTCATAGTTTTTAAATATTTTGGCTAGGAAATCTGAACATTTGTTTATATTAATTTCTTCTTCGAGACTCATAGTTCCTCTCGTACCCATGCAAGTAAACTTTAAAACGTTTTTATAAACATTTATTGGGATGCATTTACAGGCAATTCATTACAGTTAAATAAGAGAAAACTTAAATTAATGCCAAACTAACCCTTTAAGATCCACAGAGTCAATATACCAGTGCGAAACAATAAACAAATCTTTTTTTTACATTTTTGTTAAGTTTCAATAAATACATAAAACAAATAAATACAATTTAACCGAATGTTATGAATTTTCTTTTAGATTATATTATTATTAATCATACACTTCGATCACCAGACATACACGCACACACTATTACGAGTATATTGAAAATGCTACTGTGATCTTCTGATTGAAAAATATGCTGAAAACTATAATTTTGATTTTCAGACCCATTGCAATAACTTCCTTATGACGAGGAAGTTAGAAATACAAAAACGATTTATTTGAACAGGATGGAAATGGTGTGCACCCAAAAGAACAATGACGTTCGCGTCCGTAGGCTGTCAGCTGCCCCGTACGGCAGTATTGCCACCCTCTTCCGCGTGCCCGTGAGCGATGTGCGTCGTTTACCATTTTTTGCCCGTTTTCCAACCGACTGACCCCGGCCGACATCGTCAGTCACCGTAATTTCTATAAAAGCACATTTGGTGTCTTTTGCCCATTAGCGTTACCATCTTTCAAACAGAATTACAGACAACTGTCCAAATCTAATTTGTTAAGCTTGAAAGGTTGACCTTTTCTTCAAAGACTATCACGTGATTCAACAAAAAGCACCAAAATTCGTTGTACATTTTTACGTTCGTATTACATGGTTAATATTGTTAGGGAGGCAGTTTTAAAGGGTACACAATCTTAGGCTTGCAGAAGTCATTAAAATGTACTAAATAAAATATTGTGGTATCATCATCATCATAAGGTCGTCAGTCCTAAGACAGGTTGGACACGCACCTCCACTCTATCCTATCTCGACCTAATCCTTGCATTTCCCTAAAAGTATAACAACCTTAACCATTTAAGAACAATAATCTAATCTAGGTCTGTTTACCTCTACCCCTCCTAACTCCCATTTCTGCCTCTAATATGTCTCTGACTACATCCCCATGCCTGAGAAGGTGTTCTACTAACCTATCTCGCCTATTTCTTAGCAACTTTCATTGAGTCCACTGTTCTTCTATTCTTTCTAATATCTCTTTAATTCTAACTTTCTCTATCCACAGTATCCTCATCATTCGCCTGTAACACCATACTTTGAACGCTTCCAATGTTTTTTTTTTCGTCAGGCCTACCGTCCATATTTCGCACCCGTACAGCGGCGCGCTCCAAACATACACCTTTAACAATCTTTTTCGAATTTCTAAATTAACCGTTCGCGAGCATAGAAGTGACTTCTTTTTATTAAAGACGACTCGACCCTGCGCTATCCTCTGTTAAATCTCTACTGCTCCTTCCGTCCTGACTTATCTGACTTCCTAGATACCTAAAATAAACCACTTTTCTAATCATTCGTCACCTATCTTTACATTCGCGCTTTCCTTACTTTTTCTTCCCAATCATACCAGTATTTTTGTTTTACTTTTATTTATTTTCATACAATACTGTTTTGCTAATACCGCTTCTTCCTATTGCTCCTTCCTAGATGCTAATACTGCTATATCATCATCTAATCTAAACATGCTAATCTTTTGCCCTTGTATATCTATCCCTACAGATTTACTACTCTTCTACTTGTACCTCATCCCTACATTTAAGTATATTTAATATCTTGTCCCATTTAACGTTGTCAAAGGCTAACAAACCTTATTGAATTATCAACTGCGTTACCTTTACTGTTATCGATAAAAGCGGCATGTAACACAATGCCAAGATCCACACTTTCGCATACGGTATATTAAGCAATTTTTCGCGCTTTTATGTAGACTTATTCTTTATACTTAGTTTATAGTTTGTAAGTACCTTAGCAAAATTTGTATAAATTCTAAAACCGACTAGATTGTATATAAACCATCTAAAAGTCGACCTTATTTTAGTGGAAGGAACATACTCCATCAAAATAATAATTAACTGCTTCATTGATATATTGACATACAAATTTAAAAATTAGTCAAAGATTCACTTCAACTGTAATATTTTGCAACGTCTATATTAAGAAATATACTTTTTCGACTTGCACATAGCATCGCAATTTTAAATAAAAAATATTTACGGTTTAAACATCAAATGTAACATGTAATTTATGTGTTAATAACCACTATTAAACGGGTTAGCTTTCAAAAGTTATCAGTCATCATTGATTGAATTTAAGGAAGCGGAACGTATTATGTTTAACAGTAGGTACACTAGCAAAGAGGTCATAATCGCTTATAAAAAGTAGATCTGATTAATGTAATGATATTGGATGAAGCCAAACAAGTTAGCAGAAAATTAGATTGTGCAAAAGCAGAAACTTTAATCGCAATCCTTTCTCAACTTTTCAAAAGAATAGCATCTTTCATTACATGCATACGTATGCTAACAGTAATAAAAATAAAATACAACATAAACTGGGTAGTACGATAAATAAGTCAACCATTTCATGGAGATTGATCCAAGCTCAACTGTATATTAGGACTATATCGCATAATATAGGTATCAGAAGGGTTTTTAAAATGTAGAAGCATTCGATAACACCTCTGAAGAAGTCGTAGTGCGTGCGAAACATATATGTTATGTTAAATATTACAATTTTATGGAAATATACAAAATCTGCATTTTTGTTCGAAGTGAATTTCCATGAGAAAATTT